TAAGAGTGTGAATGAACTTTAAAGATATTCTGTTGAACAAAAGAAGCCAGACACAAAATAATACATACTGTATGGTTCTATTCATTGGAAGGTCAAGAAGAGTCAAAATGAGTTAAGTGGTAACGGAAGTCGAAATAGCGATCCCCTATGTCAGAGGGGTCTGGGAAGACGCATGAGGGAATCTGGAGTGCTGGAAATATTCTATATTTTGATCTGAAGTTGGTAACATGGTTGTTTCTACCTGAAAAACCTAAGATTAGTGTGCTTTATGCACCTTATGTATGCCATGCCTTCATAAAAAACTTAAAAAAAAAACACCTTTTTGTGGGAATTGGCAAATGATTCTAAAATTTATATGAAAAAGTAAAGGGCAAAAAATATCCAAGATACTCTTATAAGAGCAAAGTAAAGGGACTTGCTCTTCCAAGGAAAAAAATAAAGTAATCAAAATAGTGTGGTATTAGAACAACAATTGGCCAATGGAACAGAGCATAGTCTATATTCATGTATGACATTTAGTTTATGAAGAAGATGGGACTGAAGAGCTGTAAGGAAAGGATGGTTTAAATAGTGCTGGGCCGACTGGACTCATATGAAAAGTAAAACTTGAACCCCTACTTTACGTCATATATAAGAATCAATTCTAGGCATGTGAAATGTGCAAAAATGAAACAGTAAAGCTTTCAGAAGATAGCTTAGAAGGATATCTTCATGATCTTAGGGTAAGATAACATTTCTTAAACAGGACACAGAAATGATGACCATAAAAGAAATAATTGGTAAGATCATATTACATTTAAGAACTTCTTTTATTACTCTAGCAAGAGAGTAGAAAGTCTAGCCACAACAAGAGGAAAAGTATTTGTAACATATACAACTGCTAAAGGCCTTATATTTGGTATGTGTAACAAATTCCTCCAAACAAATTAAAAACAAAAATAAAAATACAATCTAACAGAAAAAAATAGGCAAGAAACTTGGTCAGATCATGACACAAATGGCTAATGAACTTAAAAAGTTGTAAATGTCATTAATCATCAGAAAAATGAAAATGAAAACCACAATGATATACCACTACATACCCTCTAAAATAGCTAAAATTATGAAGCTTGAAAATACCGAGTGTTGACAAGAATGTGGAAGACAAACTTTCATTGCAGTTGATGGGCATGTACATTGTTACAACTACTTTGGCAAACAAGTTTGGCATTACTTACTTAAGGTAAAATCATGTCTGTCCTATGATCCAGCAGTTAGACTTCTGGGTATACATCTGGCAGAAAAACGTCCGCCTAAGCAATAGACACAGTGAGCATATTCAAACAAGGCTATTGTTAATAGCTACTAACTGAAACGATCTAAATCACCAAAACTAGAATGAATAAATACATTGTGGCATAGTCATACTTCACAGGATTATACTATAAGCAACAACGCAGATGACTCTCACGGTATCATGTCAAGTGAGAGAAGCCAGACACCATGGAATACACACTGATCTGGGGAAAAAATGAAAGGGTAAGAGAGAGGCCTCTGCCAGGTTCCCACTGTTCTGTTTCTTCACTTGGGTGGTGCATACAGATGCTTTCACTTTGTGGTAACTCACTGAGCTGTAACATCAATCTTTGTGCATTTTTCCGTATGTGAATTATACTGACAATTACAAAACCTTTTAAAATGCATGAACCACTTCTCCAAAAAACTGAAAAAAGTTGAGAAACATGATGACATTCCATAGGATTTTAAATATTAGGTATTGTTTGGATTTAAGCAGATGGCATAATATAAAAATGTGTGGCCTCAAATATCCACAAAGAATGGCAGAGTGCACTGAATAGATTTTAGAAATCTCAATACTGGGTGCTTATTTTCTCCCAGGACTCTCTCCTTTTCTCAAATTTGTCCCCACCCCAACCCTTTCCAGGGACCTTTATCTTGCCAGCTCTTTCCCTCTGCTCCCGTCCCCTAATATTCATGTTTACTTTCGGAGCAGTCACCTTAGTACATTCTGAACCTGCCTTGCACTACCGGAGTATCCAAGCATGGGTATCTGTTGCCATTCACAACTGAGTTTAAGATATGGAAATCGCTCCAATGCTGCATTTTTCTTAAGTTAATAAGTATACATCTCAATATGTACCTTATGGGGTTCACCCCTCAAAAGCATTTGCTTGATTTTCTTAAGTGCCAGGGGCATATAAGGAAGTCATTAAAAACATAGACTTTGGAATTAGATTAACCAGGATTCAGATTCCAGTTCTGTTGCTTATTACGTAACTCAGGGTACCATGACTAACTCACAGAACTGTTGTAAGGCTCTAAGAAGGCTGTAAATGTAAAATTATTAGCTTAACACCTTGCTCAAAGTAAGAACTCAGTAACTTCAGGTGATGTTACTGGTGATGATGATGATGATGATGATGGAGGAGGAGGAGGAAGAGAAGAAGACTTTATTATTATTTTTATTTTTCCAGGAAACTATTTGGAGTTAAACTGGAATAGGAAAAGTTTGTATTTTTTGTTTGCAGTATTTAGTGCTGGGATTGGGGGTGTGAGGGTGGGTATTGGTGTATGGTCTTTCTGATCAGAAAGCCCAAAAACCCATATGCCAGGCTCTAAAAATTAAGATCTCAGCATGATAAATCATGGCAAGAAACATAATCTTTATAGGAGAACAAAATACCTGTTTAAATGTGTTGAGTCATTTCAAAAGTCTCCTGAAGAATATATTATTTATTTTTGACTAGGAAAGTTTAGGCTGGGTGGAACTCAGACAGGGGTGAGTAAGAATTTAAAGGTATAAAGGAACTCCCTAAGGTGATTCTGGGTCAGAGGTAAAAAAAACAAAAGTCATAGCTGCACTCTTTAATTTAATGCATGGGAAACATCAGCTGAACGCCTACTAGTTGCTCAGGTTACCCTCAGCCTACACAAACCACAGGTGTCCGGAGTGCAGAGTGGTAGGCTGGTTAACAGGTATGAGGCCTGTGAAATTCTGACTTGCTTCCTGACTAGTGGAAAGGGGAACCTGAGGAGGAAGGGGCAGAGGAAGGGAAGGGGATATAGGAGATTATCGGCTCATGAACAAGGGGCGACCCACTTACAGGAAAGGACTCCAAGTCCCAGGTACCCCATCCTTTTCCACTTCCTAGTAGGAGGAAACAATGAACTGTTACTGCTCAAGTTAAGAAGGGTCAGGGGAGAAGGGATGGAGGGCCACACATGTGTCTGCTTTAGCCCCTTTAGGGCCATGACCCATTCATGTTTGAACAGAAATGCATACAAGTCCTAAAGCTTAGATACCAAAACATAACTGGCGGGAAATATCTTCATGGCAAATATGCATCATATTTATTAACCCACAAGACTTAAAATGATAATGTTGGAGCTGAACTAATATAATTGACAGTAAGAACAGCAGCTCAAGATAATGCTGATGATGTACTAATAACCTAGAGTCTTTCCTAAAATGTTCAGTCCTTCCTAAACTTTTAATAAGTCAAGAAGCATCCAGCCACGAAAACAGAAACCATACCAGTTACTTTAACAGAAAGAATTTGCTATGAAGAATTGGTTAAACAGATGTTGGAAAACTAAAACAAAACAACAACAACAAAAAAAAAACCCATACAATAAAAGGGGGATTCTGAGACTGAGGCAGAGAGTAACTACGGGAAGCCGTCCTAGGGCTGAAGAAACAAGGGGAAGACCTATAGGTGACATCCTAGAAAAGGAAGTCAGGAAACTGGAACTCAGGCCTCTGAAAATCGGGCATGGCCAGCCCATTGCTGGTATCCTTGAGGCAGAGCAACAGGGCCGATGCTGGGTGTAGAGGAAGAAGCGGAAAACCAGCAGCGGCTCCTGCCTGGATCAGACCCCGTGGCCCTACGCTGACGACAGAACTCGGAAGCTGGAAGACCCTGACCTCCTCCTCCAGCTTTGCGTGTTCCTCTAGCGCCCTCTATGGGTGAAACCTAAAGGACCCCGGCCGCAAGAAATGTTCGCGGAGTCCTGGCTTGGGCATCACAAAGCCAGGTCCAGGGAAAGAAACAATTTTACCTGGATTCATTTCCTGTTCCCAAGTGGGGAGGAGGAGGTAACCTATAAAGGGGACTCTGAAAATCCTGACCATCCTCTCACTCCCTCCAGTCAAAAAAATCTTTTTTCAATTATTGAAGATTCTTTTTTCTAAGGTAAAGGTCGTTGAGTGAATTTTAGGGTCGTTTCTCATTATCTGTACATTTGAAAACCGGTATTTATGAGAGAAAGAGAGGTAACACATCTGAAGTAAATCGTTTATTCTATTTTAGGCCTGTGCCCTATTTTTATAACTCCTTTCAAGGCCTAGAGCCGAGACTACGTCTCAGATTTTCCTTGGACCATTTCAACACGTTTCTTAATGGCAACCCCCGCCCTCCCATTTAGAAGGGCATGAGACCTAGAATCAGGCCTGTTTGGAAGTCCCCACGCCACTGCTCACGGGCTCGGGAGATTGCATTCAGGCTGACACCTCACTGTCTGGGTCTCCCTTTCCTCATCTGTAAAATGGGACAATACTTAATTCGAGGTGGCGAGGATTAAATGTAATCCAATATAGTGTATGGCAGAGTGCCTGGCAGTATGTTGAGAAATAAATAATCCATTTCATTCTTCTTTCAGCACCAACTTCTGACATTTTGAAAGTTTTAGGGAGGTGGCCATGAGGTCTGATTACCAGACCCACTTTTCAATGTGCCCGCCTCTTTACTGGAGTGGAGTTTTATCCCTGGTAGTGGCCTCCTTGGTCGGGGTCACAGAAACTCGCACACACTCAACTGAAACAAGGAACGGTCCGGGGACTAGAAGTCGACGGGACCGTCCCCTCGCCCTGGCGTCCAGCTCGGGACTCCTGCGGGACGAGGGTGGAGCGCGCACCTGGCACCGCCTCTCGCGGCGCTGGGCCTCCAGGAGCGCCGCGCGCAGCCTGAGCTGCCCGAGCGCGGCACAGAGGGGAGCCGCCGCCGCCGTCCGGGGCCTTAGGGACATCGGACACTGCCGGCCGCCGGCGGAGATGTGACCCCGCTCCGCCGCCCATGTGGGGCTCCCGACCCCCAGCGAGGGCAGCGGCCAGAAGGGCCCCGGCGCCGGGCCGTCTGGCCCTCCCCCTGCTGCTGCCGCCGATCCTGCTGCTCGCGGCCGCGCCGTCGGGACGCGCAGGTAAGTGGGCCGACCCGGGGCGCCGCCTAATGTCGGACGAGGACCTAGCCGAGCCGACTCCGTCCCGCCGGCGCTGGGTTTGCTACGCCAAGAGCCCCAGGGACAATCTCGCGGCGGCCACTCACGCGTTTGGTTCCGAGTCAAGTTTGCACCGCGCCACGTTCCACACTTTTTCCTTGCGGGTTCTAGGCAGGTGTGGAGGAAGTTTGACAGCTCCTCACAGCAGCGGGTGACAGTAACCCCGCGCAACGCTTTCGCCCGCGTGTCGCAGGCTCCCGCCACCCCCGCCGCGGCCGCGCGGAGAAGCGCTGGTGGAACGCGCGTTTCGGCCACCTAGACCTGGTACTCTTAAACCGGGAACTCCCCAGACCTGAAGGTGATGTCTGCGCTTTGCAAAACCAAACCCCTTGAAAGCAAGGTTCTGATCCAAAGGAACCGGGTCTAGAAAGAAGCAGCGTTTTTAAAGTAAGATCCCCTCTCCTGGGCACGTCATTTTTCCCCTTTTCAGGTGCGACCATGTACTTATATGTGGTGTCCTTTGATTTTTTTGGAAATAAAACTTGTAACTGATCCATGACATAAGGTGACTGCAGTTTTTGATTTCGCTCTTAAATTTAAACTCTACCAGCTGGAATCCAGTAAACCAGAATGTTCATTAACCCGATTTCTTTTTCTTCTGTATTTCTGGTATAGAGAAAAAGGTATTCGACCCCCCCCCCCGCCCCGGAACGTCTCTTTTTAATTGACATAGAATATTATATTAGTTTTAGGTGTACAACATGATGATTCTACATTTGTATACATTGCAAACTGATCTCCACCATAAGTCTATTACCTATTATCTAGCACCACCCAGAGTTAATACGATATGATTGACTGTAGTCCCCATGGTGCGCGTGACATCCCTGTGAGTTATTTTGTAACTAGGAGTTTGTACCTCCATCCTCTTCATCCGTTTTGCCAACCCTCCCTCCTTTGGCAACCACCCGTCTGTTCTATCTATGAGTCTCGTTTCGTTTTGTTTTGTTTGTTTTTGTTTTGCTTTTTAAAATTCCACATGTAAGTGAAATCACACGATATTTGTCTTTCACTCAGCCTAACACCTTCAGAGTCCATCCGTGTTGTCACAAACGGCAAGATTTCATTCTTTATTACACACACAACGCATCTTCTTCATCTATTCATCCATTGAGGGACACAGGTTGTTTCCCTATTTTGGCTATTGTAAATAATTCTGCTATATGAACATAGAGGCAGATGCATCTTTTCTATTGAGTGTTTTGTTTTCTTCAAATAAATACTTAGATTTGGGTTTACTAGATCATATGGTAGTTCTATTTTTAATTTTTTGAAGAATTTTCATACTGTTTTCCATAGAGGCTGCACCAATTTACATTCCTACCAGTAATAGTGCATGAGTATTCCATTTCTCTTCATATTCACTAACACTTGTTATTTTTTCTCTTTTTGATAATAACAGATATGAGGTGATATCTCATTGTGGCTTGGCTTGCATTTCCATGATGATTAGTGATGTTGAATATCTTTTCATGTGCCGGATGGTCATTTGTATGTTTTCTTTGGAAAAATGTCTATTCATATCCTCTGCCCATTTTTTAATCAGATTGCTTGCTTCTTTTCCTTTTGTTATTGAGTTGTGTGAGTTCTCTATATATTTTGGATATTAATCTTTTATCAAATATTGGATCTGCAAATATTTTCTACTATTCTTGTTGCCTTTTCTCTTTGTTAATGGTTTCCTTTCTTGTGCTAAGCTTTTTAGTTCCATATGGTCCCACTTATTTACTTTTGCTTTTGTTTCCCTTGCCTTTTGTGTCAGGTCCCAAAAAAATCATGACCAAGATTGATTGATGTCAAGGAGCTTACCTTTTGTTTTTTTTCTAGGAGTTTTATGGTTTCAGGTCTTACATACAAGTCTTTAACCAATTTTGAGTTAATTTTTGTGTATGGAGTAAGAGAATGATCCAGTTTAATTCCTTCCCATGTGACTGTCCAGTTTTCTCAACATCATTTACTGAACAAAACTATCTTTTTACCCATTGTATGTTCTAGGCTCTCCATTCTGTTCCATTGATCTAATATATGTCTGTTTTTATGTCAATACCATCCATACTGTTTTGATTACTATAGCTTTGTAACATAGTTTAAAACCAGGACGCATGATACCTCCAACTTTGTTCTTCTTTCTCAACATTGTTTTGGCTAATTGGGATATTTTGTGATTCCATACAAATTTTAGGATTGTTGTATTTCTGTGGAAAATACCATTGTGATTTTAATAGGGATTGCATTGAATCTGTAGCTTGCTTTCGGTAATATGGATATTTAAACAATATTAATTCTTCTAATCCACAAGCATGGAATATCTTTCCATTTATTTGTGTCCTCTTTCATTTCTCCAGTGTCTTACAGTTTTCAGCATACAGGTCTTTCATCTTCCCAGTTAAATTTATTTCTACGTATTTTATTCTTTTTGATCCAATTGTGAATGGACTGTTCTCCTAATTTCTCTTTCTGCTAGTTCATTGTTAGAATATAAAAACACAACAGATTTGAAATATTAGTTTTGTACCCTGCCACTTTATTTGTTTTTTGGTGGAGTCTTTCAGGTTTTCTACTAGTAAAATCATGTTGTTCACAAATAAGTTTTAGTTCTTCCTTCCCAATCTGGATGCCTATTATTTCTTTTTCTGTCAAATTGCTCTGACTAGGATTTTCAATACTATGCTGAGTAAAAGTCTCCAAAGTAGGCATCCTTGTCTTGTTCCTGATCTTAGAGGAAAAGCTTGCAGTTTTTCACCATGGAGTATGATGTTAGCTAGGGACTTCTTATTAATGACCTGTATTATATTGAGATATGTTCCTTCTACACCTACTTTGTTGTGAGTTTTAATCACAAGTATGTTGAATTTTGTCAAATACTTCTTCTGTATCTATTGAAATGATCATATGATTTTATCCTTCATTTTGTTACCATGGTATATCATATTGATTGGTTTGCAGATTTTGAACCATTCTCTTATCCCTGGAATAAATCCCACGTGGTCCATAGTGTGTGATCCTTTTAATGTATTGTTAAATTCAGTTTGCTAATATTTTGTTGAGGATCTTTGCATATGTGTTTATCAGGGACATTGGCCTGTAAGTGTATTTTTTTTGTGGTGTGTTTGTCTGGTTTTGGTATCAGGGTAATGCTGGCCTCATAAAATGAGTTTGGAAGCTTTCCTTCCTCTTTAGTTTTTGTCAGAGTTTGAGAAGGATAGGTGTTAAATCCTTTTTAAATGTTTGGTAATATTCACCAGTGAGGTAGTCTCATCCTAGACTTTTGTTTATTGGGAGTTTTTTGTTGTAGTTTGTTTATTTGTTTTTTGATTACTGATTCAATCTCCTTATTAGTAATTGGGCTATGCAGATTTTCTATTTCTTCATGATTCAGTCTTGAAGGATTGTGTGTTTCTAGGGATTTATCCATTTCTTCTAGTTTGTCCAATTTGTTGGTATCTAACTGTTCGTAACATTCTTTGGTATCAGTTGTAACCATTTTTCATTTCTGATTTTATTTATTTGAGGCCTCTCTCTATATATAATTTTTAGAGAGTCTAACTAAAGTTTTGTTAATTTCACTTATCTTGCTGAAGAACCAGGACTTAGTCTCATTGATCTTTTTTATTGTCTTTTTAGACTCATTTCACTTATTTCTGCTCTGATCTTTATTTTCTTCCTTCTACTAATTTTAGGCTCTGTTTGTTCTTCCTTTTTTTTTTAGTTCCTTTAGGTGTAAAATTAAATTGCTTATTTTATATTTCTCTTGCTCTTGTGTCACTATAAATTTCTGTCTTACAACTGCTTTTGCTGAGTCTCATAGATTTTGGCATGCATTAAATCCATTTCCATTTGTCTCAATATATTTTTTATTTTTCCTTGATTTATTTATTGATCCATTGGTTTTCAGTAGCATGTTATTTAGTTTCCACATGTAGTGTTTTTATTTGTTCCATTTTCTTCTTGTAATTTATTTTTAGTTTTATACTATTGTAGTTGGAAAAGACTCTTGATATGATTTCAGTCTTCTTAAATTTACTGGGACTTGTTTCATGGCCTAACATATGATGTATCCTGTAGAATGTGATATGTGCACTTGAGAAAAAGATGCATTCTGCTGCTTTTGAGTGGACTATTCTGTACCCAGCTATTAAATCTATGTGGTCTAATGTGTTGTTTAAGGCTGATATGTCTTTCTTCCTCTCTTTTTTTTTCTTCCTTCCTTCTTCTGAAAAAGATACTCTGTTGAAAAGATCTTCTGAAAAAGATACTATTTCTTCAAATAGGTACAACATACACTATTTCTTGGCGAAAGCCAAGGCCAGGATATTAGATGAATTAAGAGGTAGGTAATAGCAAGGCCAGGCTGTTTTGCTTTCTCATGATTTAGCCTAATTCACAGATAAACTTGAGCAAACCAAGAAGTTGAAGTTAACCTATTCCCTACATACTTTCTCACAAATGTTAGAGGTTTCACAAGCTTTGGCAAGTGCCAGATCATTTAAACCAAAACCATACTTTCTGACAAGTGGCTAAAATTCTAATTTCTGTATTTGTTGTTATGTTGCTATGTGATTTACTCACTCCAAACAGTAAGCAGCAAAATGGACATTCTGCTTTGGACATTGACAAGCATAAATTGTATTCTTTTTAAAAATTTAAACGTTTTATTGTTTATGCTATTATAGTTGTGCCAATTTTAGCCCCTTTGCCTCCAGCACCCAGTCCCACCCCCCGCCCCGCACTCCCATAGTCAATCCCCACACTGTTGTCCAAGTCCGGGGGTCCTTTATACATATTCTTTGACGAGACCCTTCGCCTTCTTTCAGCCAGTCCCCACCTCCCTCATCTTCTCGTAGAGCTGTCAGTCTATTCCATGTATCCATGCCTCTGGTTCTATTTTGCTTGTTAGTTTATTTTATTCATTAGATTCCACT